GCTCAATTATATAAACACGTAATAAGAATTCATCCTACAAAAGGTTTCATCAAAACCCTAAATGACAAGTTAGTTACTCGTAATAATATGCAAATTTACAATATTAGAATTCATAACCAATAATGAAAATAGGAAGAAGGAAGTGAAAAACTCGTAGAAGAATTCTCCGCCTTGCTCCTAGTATGTTCTTGCCTCCTTCAGTCGATAATCCTCTCTAGAAACGTCCAATCCCCTTCAAAAGTGAGTTTAAGGACTATTTATATGTGATAGGGTTTGCATGGGGCGAAATAATACAAACCGACTTCGGAACAACCTTTTTAGGTTAGCTCGTTCACTCTCTCGTGCGCATGCAAGAATGAACGAGCAAAGTTCTTCTTGTCTTTTGGTCCCAAATCAACTTCTTTTGCTCACTTTTGTCCAACTTGTTCCTACACATAAGAATGCACGTAATGCGCATAATTCACTACAAAAACTCATGTAACCTACCGTAACCACACAAGTTATGAGATAAAAGTACATCGAAAAATATTTATTTTTGGCCGTTTATCAACACCCCAAACTTAAACTCTTGCTCGTCCTCGAGCAACTTTCAAAATTAAGCACAATGGCAAGAAATACATTTTCGCAATATACTCAAGCATCATACCAATGACAATGGCTTATACCAACACTTAGAACTCAACATAAGAACTATTGTCATCTTTCTTCAAAAGTAGACTCATGCCAAGACTATTTAAAATATTTGTGCGACTTCTTCTAACATCCTAACCTCAAGAGATGACTCCAATATATTCCTTACTATGACTCACTTGTTGTGTCAACTCAAAATGCCTGAACTTTATTAATCCTTTGTAAATTATGTGCCTTCACCACAAACCAAAGAGAGAAATTAGTCCACACACTCAAATATGCATTCAAGTATAATTTAAGGACTTACAAATCGAAAGAATTCGCTTACTCTCTCAAAGAACTTCATGTGCATCCCGAGGCCGTTTCATAGGCTTGCCCATAGTGTATGTCTCTACTAATTTAAGCTTGCGAGGTCTAGGATCAATTAGGTCTTTCCAGATTGTAATGTAGGCTAAGGGATGGATAGGATATATTTGAGTATAGTGACTAACCCTCTTAAGCACTTTAATACACTACACTTAACTTTCAAATACATACTCTTTCATGACCAATTCAAGCAATGCCACGAAATCATATACAATTTGGCCCTTCTTTTTTAAGCACAACTATGCATTCACTAGCTCAGATTAAGAGGAATAGGGGGTGTATTTTCTATTTTTTTAATTTTATTTTTTCTCTTTTTTTTTTCTTTTGCATTTTCTTTGATTTTTTTCCCACTCTCCATAGTTGGGTTGCCCGACTAATGATCTTTCAAAATATACGTGCACCTTTTGGCCTTTTTGTGGTTCCACTCAAAAGCTACCCCTACTCTCACCTTACTCTTCTAGCAACTTATGTGCTTTCGGAGGTAAAGGTTCAAAAAGATCTAATTAAGAACAAAAAGGGAATCGGCTTGTCATGTAGGTGCCAAAGAAAAAGTTTATAGGCTCAAATGGGCTATCTAAGGATAATTTTATTTATGTTGGCATACTAGCTCAATGGACAATCAAAGAAACGCCTACATCATATCCAAGACTCACAAAGCTTACTTATTTCTTTTCGAATAACACACAGGGCAAGTTCAAGACTAACACAGGATAACACAGAATATAATCAAGACCTCATATCACACAATGCACATGATTCACTCCGGACGGCTCAGACCCGACACTCTAGTTAAACAACTAAGCACAACCATCCTATTAATTCAACACATGGAAAGTAATAATAGGAGTCAACAAATGAACTTAAGCGTCAAAAGAAAGTCACATATATTCTCAAGGCATGTGGCCACATAGAACACGAAAAAAGATAATCAGCTCAAATGTTACAACTCTAAGTCCGGACATAAAACATGTCAAAAAGTGTAGATACTCAAGTTCTTCCATTCCATTATCAGTTCTACAAAAGTAAGAAAAAGAAAAATCTTTTTGTATTTTTTTTCCTTTAGACTTTACTCCCTCAAGAAAACTGTCTAAGAAATCTATCGTCCGGAAAAGTCCAAAATCTTTATGAAAATTCTACCTACAAAAAAAACTACTACCCGATTCAAAGAGTCATCCCTTGGAAAAGAACCATGGCCATAAGAAAAATCAAGAGGGATTATTACTACCTAATTATTTTTTTATTTTTTTCAACACACATACAATAACACAACTAAAATAGCACAGGAATACCTAAACAGTCTCTTCACCCACACTTAAAATAATGCATTGTCCCCAATACACACCCATAAATACAAGAGGGTAAAAGAAACTCCCTGGTAGACCAAAGGCCGATGCATTAGCAGCTCATGGGGTACTCAGACTTCTCCCATATGGTTCTTTGTGCGGGCACCCCATACTTAATTCTGACCATCTCCCTTGCTTTTACTTTCTTCCAATAGCCTTACTTCCCATGTTCCTAGAGAAATCAAAAGCAACACTGCAATAATAATAAAATAATAAAAAATAAAAAATAAAAAATAAAAGCAACAGAAAACAGTAAAGCTGGGTTGCCTCCCAACAAGCGCTTGATTTAACGGCGCGGCACGACGCGAATCACTTTTTGTCTCCACCTCGAGCTTATGAATTGAATCCCAAGTTTTGCTTCAAGTTTATGATTATGCTCCTGGGGAGGTACAAATTCTTTCGAGCCAAAGTTTAAATGAATTTTCATGCACTTTTTGGCTCTCGACTGAGGAGTATTACCTTGCTTAGATGGCCTTACAAATTTCAAAATATAAGGTTCATCGACCTCTGCCCTTGACTCCTTTTTATGCTCATAAGGATTAATTTTTATTTTACCATCTGAACATAATATAGAGAAGTGTTTGGAATGAGGTCCAACGCGCTCAAATACATGAACTTTAAGATTTTTGACCTCCTCTACACCAATCACACTAGAGTCAACTAAATTTGTATCTTCAATATCCTTGGCTGACTCTAGTATTACTTCTTCAATATCGGCATCCTCAAATTCTAGTTGGATAGATTGTTGGTGTTCTATTCTCACCTCCTCCATTAGCACCTCAATTTCTGCATCTAAATCATGCTCCTTTTGGCTACTATCCACAATATCAGCTTGTTGAGCATTAAATTCTTCAACTAGTTGACTCACTTGTGCCTCCAGGTTGTGAATAGTAGCATCTTGCCTTTGTACGTGCCATTGTTTCTCATTATTTTATTCCACAAGGCACCTTATCATATCCGTGATCTCTTTCACGTCATCATCCCTGAGNATGAAAGTGACCATCTTGACCACCACACATATCACACACATTCCACACATAAAATTGAGTTGGTATACATAATTCGCTCTCGGGAATATTTTGATAATTTAGCCATGGGTTGTTTCCTCCACAATATGCATAAGGAAGATCAAAAGTAGAATTACCAACATCAAAACTCTCATATTTCAAAGATGCCATGTTTCTCAAATCATCAAGTAAAACTAAAATAAAAAAAATCAATACAAAAAAAAATAAAATAAAAGTTCAAACTTGAAACCTAGCAATATGTATAGCTACAGCTACACCGTTAGTTCCCCGGCAACGACGCCAAAATTTGATCACACCCAACTCTAGTCCTAAAAAAGATAAGCGGTCGCTGCAAATATAATTCGGTCTAAAAGTCCGGAGTTGAATCCCACAGAGAACTAAGACTTAGCTATAATTGTTCAGTATTGCTAAGAAATATAAGTTCAAATAATTTTCTAGTTATAAAGATTGTAATTTTTATTTTAAACTAATTAATTAACAAATACAAAAAATAGTAAAATTATCAACTAACAAAACTAAGGAGGTCTAGAGTTATAATTTCCCCAATTGTCGGAATTCTTCCCGCTATATTTTTTATAATTTCGCCTAAGTATTCTCTACCGATCGTGACTACTTCGGGTGTCGTAATTCTCTTCCGAGCAACTACAATAATTTACTAGACATATTCTTCCGAACTACGCTAGCTGATACTAATTCACCGCTCACTAAGATTGCACCAATGTTTCGTTATTCCTAATCCCACCTTTAAACCCTCCGTATTGATTCCTCACATACGTTAGGAGTGATGTTGTTCTACAACTATCTAAATATGTACCATTTTCCAAGCAATACATATTAAATATGCACAGTCAATTGATGGTCATTCAATCAACAACAATAAATACGTAGTTGAATAAGTAGAGAAATCCAACTGCTCAATTATATAAACACGTAATAAGAATTCATCCTACAAAAGGTTCTATCAAAACCCTAGATAACAAACTAGTTACTCGTAATAGTATGCAAAACTACAATACTAGAATTCATAACCAATAATGAAAATAGGAAGAAGGAAGTGAAAAACTCGTAGAAGAATTCTCCGCCTTGCTTCTAGTGTGTTCTTGCCTCCTTCGGTCGATAATCCTCTCTAAAAATGTTCAATCCCCTTCAAACGTGAGTTTAAGGACTATTTATATGTGATAGGGTTTGCATGGGGCGAAATAATACAAGCCCACTTCGGAACAACCTTTTTAGGTTAGCTCGTTCACTCTCTCGTGCGCACGCGAGTATGAACAAGCAAAGTTCTTCTTGTCTTTTTGTCCCGAATCAACTTCTTTTGCTCACTTTTCGTCCAACTTGATCCTACACATAAGAATGCACGTAATGAGCATAATTCACTACAAAAACTCATGTAACCTACCGTAACCACACAAGTTATGAGATGAAAGCACACCGAAAAATATTTATTTTTGGCCGTTTATCGTGTACTAATGTAATAAGTGCATAATTTGTGTTTTTATATAAATATTACCACTGCTTAACTATTTAATAATAGTTAAGCAGACTTCATTTTATCAATTTAGTATGATGAATCAACGTGAAAGACGGGAATGTGAGGAAGTTATTTTAACTGTTTTACCAGTTTCTCAAAAGAGAGAGGGAGAGAGAGAATTGCTAAAAGAAATTACTCCCTAGCTGGGGACATGCATTGAAGAAAAGAAAAAAAGAACAAAAAGAGAAAAAAAAATAAGGACAGAGAAGAACTTTGTAATTAAAAAGATTTTTATGTTCTCTCTGTCTCTTTCACGTTTAGGCTTAGCCATTGTTGTTCATCTCTCCGAATGCCTCAGCATCATTCAGGGTACTAATAAATTGTCTTTCTAATAGAATTTAAGGTTTCTGGAACAGAGTTAATGTTGATATTCTTTAAAATTTTTATTTTTTTGTAGTCAATTATGGCGACTATTAAGCAAGGAGCGAGGCAATCAACAGGAAAATTCTGTAAATTTCAATTCTCAACCTTGACCAATTATTTTTCTGTATATATATGTTTTGTTTTCTAAATTCCTAGTATATAATTTTTGGGAAATTTCACAGGTTTCAGAGATAGCAATGTTATTATTTGAGTTTTGCAGCCTCCTTTATGCGAATTTGAGGCAAGTCTTTAAAATCATTCCTTTTAGCAGAGATGTATATATTAGCAAAGCTTAACATAATAGAAACTTATGTAGTAGCAAAAGTGGTTCAAAATTTGTTTTAGGTCGCATGTGTGACAATGTGTTTTATTCTTGCAGTTTTTCAAATTCTCTTGTTAGAATTCATGGTGCTACACCGATCCGACGAATCAGTTTCCACAATCAAGCACAACAAACAATGGCTGCTCTTATCCTTGTTAGAATTTATGGTTCTACACCGGTCACACGAATCAGATTCCGCAGTCAAGCGCAACAAACAATGGCTGCATGTATTTCAAGTGGATCAAGATATTGCTGATTTGAACCAAAGAAAGGATAGTGAATACAACAACATCTAAGAGAAGACAATGGTTGAAAGGAGGATATATCTGATTAATAGCTAGCTATAATCGATGGACTGCTTAATTTTATGAACAAAACTGAGATTGAGGAAATTGTAAGAAGCCTTTGAGAAATTTTATATGCTTGAGTTAAATGATGAGATTATTATTGCCGTTTGAAGTAGTGAACTACCTAGAATTTATATTGTGGCGTGTTTGTTTTTTTGTGGCAAATTTAGTTGACACAAAGGCTAATAAGAAAACAATGATAACAGTGCAAAAGTGGATATACTTTCACATTGAATATAAAACATATAATTTTTGTGAAAAAATTTAGCTAAGATTTGGACCAATGTGAATGTGCATCCCCTATTGCATTGTTATTTTTCTTTAAGTCAAAAGTAAAAAAATTATTTCAACCAAATGTTTCGTTATGTACAGCAGTACAAACTAGCTTTAATTGACTCTAAAATGTTTCGTTATGTACAAACTAGATTTATTTGACTCTAGAAACTAAGTCTAAAAAATAACCTTTGAACGACAATGACCATAACAAACCGGTAGGCTATCAGAGGTTCAACATATCGCCTTCTAGGCAGTGGCGTAGCTGGTGCCAAGGAAGGTCGAGCAAACACCCTTCGTTGAAAAATTATATTATTGTATACGGGTAAAATCGAGCCCACTGAATGACTCGATTTTTCGGTGAATCAAACGGAGCAGGAATGTGACCGTAATGAATCGGAATCAGAGCGAGGAGCCCCTCGTATCGGGGCTCGGGCAAAACATCTGCCCTCGGGGATATCGGGGCCATATCCTCCGAGTCCGGTTAGAGGATTGAGACTTCGGAGAGCATTACCAAACAGCTGCACATGACTAACAAAGGACCGCGATGTCCGTGCCCGACCGGATATCACGGCGTGAATCTCAGCCCGTATCAGCAGAAAATCAGTGATTAGCGAAACGGAAATTTTTTACCTTTCTTAGAATTGTACTTAGGGTAAAATTCTCTTACTATATAAAGGGGAAAGCTTATTATTCATGGGACATATTATAATACGCATATCAATGCAATTTATTTCAATCCTTTTGGTTGTTCAAAGTTCTTATTTTTGTTCTTAATTTCTTCATAAGTGCAAGCTTGGAATGGAAGGCAGGTTCCTCATCAAGCCACCAACCGAGCTCTGAATTACCCTTATCGTTGGTTTGGTCCTTTATTACGTCTTTCATTTGCTTAATCTAATATCATTAATTACTTATATTGAATTAACCCACATATTGTTAAAACCACAAATAAATTTAATTGTTATCCGTTTTTAAGGATAAATAGTTTGGTGCCCACCGTGGGACTAAAGATAATAGTGGCGATTTGATACGAATTTCCATAACGCACTCTATTTTACACTTGTTCTTTGAGATTTTTTAATTTCAGGTCAAATTAAAAATGTCAAACTCTCAATCTGCTCATTCGAGCGTTGATGCTGAGTCTGGCCACCATGACGAGAACAACAATGTGGTGCCCAGCAACTAGGTGCCCCTTGTTGACCCCAACGGAGTTCCAGTCGCGGACCCGATCGATGCTAACTCACATGTGGCTATCGACGCAAACTTGCCTACCGACCCCGAAAACAACATTTGCAGGGAAGCCTGATTGATAGCCCGGAGTACACATGACAGCGAAGGTGATGGGATCAATCTGCGGGTGATCTTTGAAATGTTACAGGCTCAACAGAAAGCAATAACCCAATTGTAGAACCAAAGTCGCGCCCCCAACAGAGTTGAACCCGAACAATCCCGGGAAAGCACCCGTAGAAATAAACCAGCCACGGAAAGGCCAGACGAAGTTGAACCCGAGACCGACCCCGAGATAATAAAGATGCTAGAGGAACTGACAAAGTGGGTGGAATCAGGAGAAAAGAAAATCGAAGCCAACGACAAAAAGTGAAAACCAATAACTCCAGGGTTGATCAAATCCCAGGAGCGCCTCCGATATTGAAAGGCCTAGATTCCAAGAAATTTGTTCAAAAACCTTTCCCTCCGAGCGCAGCTCCGAAACCGATCCCGAAGAAGTTTAGTAAGCCCGAAATTACGAAGTATAATGGGACCACGAATCCAAATAAATATGTGACCTCCTACACGTGTGCCATCAAGAGAAACGACTTAGAAGATGACGAAATCGAGTCGATTCTACTGAAAAAGTTCGGAGAAACCCTGTCTAAAGAAGCAATGATATGGTATCATAACCTGCCCCCTAATTCCATTGATTCATTTCCTGTTCTTGCAGATGCCTTCGTGAAAGCTCATGCTGGGGCCATCAAAGTCGAGACCAGAAAATCGGACCTCTTTAAAGTGAAACAAAGAAATAACGAAATGCTTAGGGAATTATCTAGGTTTCAAAAAGGATAGACCTGCCCCCGGTTGCGGACGATTGGGCCGTTCAATCATTCACTCAAGGACTCAACCCCCAAAGCTCCTTGGCTTCACAGCAGCTGAAACAGAATTTGATAGAGTACCCGGCTGTAACTTGGACTGACGTCCATAACAGGTACCAATCAAAAATCAGAGTCGAGGATGATCAGCTCGGCCCCCCCTCTAGGTCCGTGTATCCCATCAGAACTAATGACAGGTCTAAAAGAGTCGTATAGCGGATATCGAAGGGGAAGCAGATCCGGACGTAACCCTGCAAGGAATGAAAAAAGAAGCGATCGAGGTCACAATAGGCGGGGACTCATGAGCAAAAACGGTTTCGACATGCCAGTCGGGGCCAGGGAGGCACCGAGGCTATCGGAGTACAACTTCAGCGTCGATGCTGCCGATATCGTGTCAGCCATCAGACACATCAAATATACTAAGTGGCCTAAGCCATTGCAGTCCGATCCTACCCAAAGAGACCCCAACCTGATGTGTAAGTATCATGACACCCACGGCTACAAGAGCGAAGACTGCCGATAACTAAGAAAAGAAGTGGACCGGTTATTCAATAACGGACACCTCCGGGAGTTTCTAAGTACCGAGTCAAAAGTCACTTCAGGATTAGGGACTCCAACAAGCAGACTGAGCAAGAGGAAGCTCAGCACGTCATTAATATGATCATCGGTGGAGTCGACATCCCCCATGGGCCAATGCTGAAATGCACTAAGGTGTCCATTACAAGGGAAAAGCAAACTCGGGATTACATGCCGGAGGGGACCGTCTCTTTCAACGCTGAAGGCATCGTGCAACCGCATAACGATGCCCTGTGTAATTTTTGTACTCATAAATAAATCTCGAGTTAAGCGTGTGTTGATTGATCTAGGTAGCTCAACCAATATAATCAGATCGAGCGTCGTAGAGCAGCTGGGTCTGCAAGACCAAATAGTGCCCGCGGTCCGGGACTTAAACGAATTCAACATGGCATGTGAAACTACTAAAGGGGAGATAACCCTGCTAGTGAACATCGTCGGAACCATTCAGGAAATGAAGTTCTATGTCATCGAGGGGGATATGAGGTACAACGCTCTATTCGGAAGGCCATGGATTCACAACATGAGGGCAATACCCTCGACACTACACCAGGCATTGAAGTTCCCCACACCGGAAGAAATCAAAACAGTTTACGCAGAACAACCGGCCACAAAAAAGAATGTTCACGGTCGATGAGGTGATCCCGATGTCCCTTCTCTCGACATCAAAGAACCCGAAGTCGGTTAGGAAGGAAGAAACTAAATAGTAATCATCGATACCGACCCCGACCGAACCGGAGAGCAAAAGGCAGGTGAGGATGTTGATTACAGAGTTCCCGGGTCGTTCATCGCCCTTTACGATTCTGATGCCACCAAGTTAACGGTCGAGGAACTGGAGCAAGTCATATTGATCGAACACTTGCCTGATTGGAAGGTATACCTGGGCACAGGGTTAACTCTCGAGCTCAGGAAAAAACTCATTGCATTCCTTATGGCTAACATAGATTGTTTCGCTTGGTCCCATCTTGATATGATAGGGATCCCGCCATAAATAACTACTCATAAGCTGAGCTTGGATCCGAAGTTCCACCCGGTTAAACAGAAGAGGAGGCCTCAGTCCGAAGTCAAGCATGCATTTATCAAAGACGAGGTATCCAAATGCCTTAAAATAGGTTATATTCGGGAAATTAAGTACCCAGATTGGTTAGCTAACGTAGTGGTAATGTCTAAAAAGGGAAATAAATTAAGAATGTGCGTAGATTACAAAGACTTGAACAAGGCATGACCTAAAGACTCTTTTCCTTTGTCTAACATCGATCGCATGATCGACGCGACGACCGGCCACGAGATACTCAGTTTTCTCGATGCCTATTTCGGGTACAACCAAATCCAGATGGACCCGGGCGATCAAGAAAAAACTTCATTCATCACTAAATTCGGCACCTATTGCTATAACGTAATACCGTTCGGACTAAAACATGCCGGTGTCACTTACCAACGCCTAGTAAACCGAATGTTTGAAGGACAAATAGGAAAATCAATGGAGATTTACATTGACAACATGTTAGTTAAATCCCTGCAAGTAGAGGACCATTTGGACCTTTTGCAGGAAACCTTTAGCATACTGAAGAAATACAATGTGAAGCTGAACCCGAAGAAATGTGCATTCAGGGTCGGGTCTGGAAAGTTCCTTGGATTCATGGTTTCCAACCGGGGGATCGAGATCAATCCCGACAAAATCAAAGCTATAGAAGACATCACGGTGGTGGACAATGTCAACGTCGTTCATAGGCTAACCGGGCGCATAACCTCCCTGGGTCGGTTCATATCAAGGTCCTCCGATAAGAGCCATCGGTTCTTCTCATTATTTAAGAAGAAGAATAACTTTTCGTGGACCCCGGAGTGCCAACAAGCTTTGGAAGAACTCAAACGGTACCTTTAGATTCCACCTTTGCTTCATACCCCGAAGACAGACGATTAGTTGTACCTGTACTTAGCGGTATCCAAGATAGATGTAAGTGGAGTCTTAGTCCGGGAAGAGGAAGGTATGCAATTTCCTATCTATTATGTCAGCAGGACTCTAGGCGAGGCCGAAACAAGGTATCACGACCCAAAATCCAACTAGTCGTGATGGCACCTAACCCAACCCGCTAGGTAAGCCAATTAACAACTATCCAAATTCCAATGATATTAACAAGATAATTAAACGAAAGTAATTTATTGAATCTCATACATTTTCCAAGGATTGGTAGTATAAATCATGA